TTGTGCTCGAGCCTGCGGCCCCAATGAGGCCCCCACGACATAGTGGCTTCGCGGCGGGAACTGCGAGGCCCGAGAGGGCTGAGATAGAACGCTGGCCAGGCAGTCGCTAAGGACGAAATAATCCAGATCCGAGACGTTCCCCGTGGCAGGATCCCGATACGCGCCGTTAGACGCACCCAACACACGAGCCCGAAGACGCATGGGCCACCCGGAGCCGCCCGGGACGGAGGGGGGCATGTTCCAGTCCCCGCCCAAGACAAAGGGGAGCCCATAGTGTGACAAGAGCGCCCCGAGATCTTTGAGGATCTGTGCATTGCGCCCAGCCAGGCGAAGCCCTTGTTCGAGGTAAACGGATGCAGCAACAAAACCGCGCCTCAGCCCGCCCTGAATCATGACCGCAACAACGTGTGCTGGCACAAGAACGTGACTGCTGAGACATGAGGTGAGCACAGTTGCACCAATATGCTTGCGTACAAAGATGCCCACCCCTGCACAAGGGCCAGCATCTGGGCCTGTGGCAGCCTCTGCAAGAAAAGATTTCCACCCGTTGTTGGTGGACCACTCCCGGGCGCGCTTGACCTGGTCCTTTCGCAGCTTCAACTCCTGAGCGAAGACGAGGTGCGTGCCGTTGCAGTTAGCCAGGTAGTCCTCGACCTGAGGCCATCCAATGCCGTTGAAGGCGGCGACATTGAAGTCCCGCCTACGAGCCCCTCGAGGCGCACGACGTGGTCTCGAGGAGGCCGAAGGCGGCGGAGTCGACGCATGTAGGGCCATTGGTCCAGTGTTGCCGCCATTGGACTGTGTCGGGCCAGATAGGACGCCGTCGTGAATGTCGCCGTGGTGGGCAACATCCTGAGAGCACCCTACTGCGACACTACTTTCACGCCCAGGGGCATCCACCACCCCTTCGTCAAGGGCCCTGGGCGCGTCACGAGCGAGCGCGGGGGAAGCCGCACGCAGCTTCGACTTCGAGAGGGAAGCCGCCTGCCCGTCGGCAGCCACGCTAGTCGGAGTTAGCCCCGCAGCAACATGCCTCGCACGCACACACCCTGCAGCAGTGCCACCAAAAGCGGTAGGCCCTGACACGTCATGTGGCATGCATGGATGGATGCGTACCCGGGCTAGGGGCGTGGCTCCCCTGATCGACCTCACTGTTACTCGATCCCACTGCCACGTATCTCGGGGCACGCAAGTGCCGCTCTGCAGCAAGACGTCGCACTGTAATGAGAGGCAAATCTGCAGCCCGTGTAGTACTGACCCGGACTTGCAGCAGCGCTGCGGCGTCCTCAGGAACAGGAGGCTGCACATCATCATCAGCATCTGGGAAAGGTGGATGCTCCATGTCCTGCTCTGACGAGGGCCCCTGCTCTGATGAGGGCATAGTCGATGAAATCAAAGTGCTGCCACCAGCCAACAACGCGCGCTGGTGCAGGAGGTTGGCCATAGAGGCTCCGAAGGCACGATGAGCTTCGATGAGCCTTGTACCTGCATGAACTCCGCCCTGTTCTTGCATGAACTGGGCCTGAGCAAGCAGTAGGCGTGCCTCGCGCAACTGTAGGAGGAGCTGCCTCGCCTCGGCGTACCAGGTGACGGGATTAGCCAAATGTGTGGCCAGGCACAGCATAACATGTGCATGGTAGTCTGCAGCGTCACGCCAGGCGGTCTCGCAGTAGGCGACGGCCATGTCGTGCATGGCAGCCTCAGATGGCGCCAGTGCACGAAGCTGAGGTATAAGCCTGATCATGAGCTCGGCATATGGAACACACCACCACGTCCAATCGGCGTGCGCCATACTCACGTCCTGCCAAAATACCGTGTCTGCACTCCACCGCTCCGCGTATGCGTTGAGGTGCGTGCGAAAGGTCTGGGGTCCGTCTGGTGGATCGCGTAGAGGGAAGGTGTCCACGGGCGAGTGCCGCTTCAAGCCGTAATAGTCGACGGAGTCGCTATCCGTCTGATCAGCCAAAACTGCGGGGCCCTCGCTCGGGGCCAAGAGCATATATGAAGCGGCCGCTGACATAGACTCCGAACATCCATTGTCGCGGCCATTCAGGTAGGGAACAACTGCCATGTGATCACGTAGCTGGTGTGCTGACAGGCTGGCCGCGAGCATCTCCGTGTGCGTCAGGCCCTTCCAGATCTTGATCAACGGCTGCGTCCCAAGGGTGGGTGCCGCCTGGGAGCATACTGCCAGGAGCGCGAGGCGCAACACCCTCCATGGGCGCACCGAGCACGGGGGCGACATCAGGAGGCTCGGCACCTGGCTCTGCACTTGGGCCACTGGGGACGACGGCGCGCCGATGGAGCACAAAGGCGCGCTGGAGCTCCACGAGGTGCGTGTTGAGCGACTGGAGCAGCATGTCTGGGTTGCCAGCGGCCACCGCACGTGGTGTTGCGGCGACCATTCCTTGCAGGCGGCCCATGACCTCCTCCAGACTGCCGACCGTCGAGTCACCAGCGGTAGTTGCCATGATGGCAGCACGCGCCGTGGTGACTTCTGCCTGAATGGCGGCCATCTCCGCGGCAGCGCTCGTGAGCTCCATCTGCTTCGCCGTGAGCTGCTCCTGCAGCGCGTCGACCTGCGTCTTGAGGTCGTTGTGCTCACGAAGCTTAGATGCTTGACGATCAAAAGCACGGCGAAGCATGTCGTCAGGAGTACGGGCGGCACGCTCACGTTCCTCTGCGCCTGCCAGTTGCTTTTTGGCAGAGAGCACCACCTCCGAGTCTTCAGGAAGCTGAAGACGGCGCAGGGCGGCGAGGGCCTTACGGGCACGAGCAACGTCATCTTGCTCACCTTGGCCGCCGCCTGTGGAGGAGCTCTCGGCGTCTTGAGGCGGGGCGTTGCTGGGAGCCCCACGCGACTGCCTGCTGCCTGACTGAGCACTGCGCTTAGCACCAGGCGGCTCGGCACCAGATGGATCTGGTCGGCCGAGCCTGTCCCTGCCGCACATGTAGCAGCGCTCGTTCTGCTGAAAGTTGGTGCGAAACCCGCACTGGCGGCTAGCGACACAAGCCCAAGTGCCAGCAGGCGCGCCAGGGCCCGAAGCACCACGGCCTCCCTGGGGACCTCGGCTGCGGACGCGCCCACCTTTGCCCATGGCAGGCGGCCTGGAGCCGTGGTGGCGCGTGAGGGCGTCGTGGTCGGCTGCAAGCCGCAGGCGGCGGCGCGCCGATGCATGCACGGATGCGTCTCAAGCGTCGGTGCCACGCTGGAGAGCGCGATCGTGGTGGGCCGCCCTCCGTGGCGAGTGCAGTAGGCCTCTGGGCAGAGCGCCAAGGCCACGGGTGGGTGCAGCCGCCTCGCGAGCGCTGGCTCGCGGCAGCCGCGTCGCGCCAGGCGAAGCCTGGGGCCGGGGGCTCCCTATTGCACGGGCCCCGCGCCCCCCGCGGGCAAAATGGCTGCGGGGGGGGGAGGGGGGGGGCCACGCAGGGAGCCACCTGGAGGAGGGAGGAGGAGGAGGGAGGAGGAGGAGGAGGAGGAGGAGGAGGAGGAGGAGGAGGAGGAGGAGAGGGAGGAGGAGGAGGAGGAGGAGGAGGAGGAGGAGGAGGAGGAGGAGGAGAAAGAGGGACTGGCGGCCTTCGGCCTGGAACGCCCGCGCGGGGGGGCGCCGCCGCGCCAGCGGCGGCGCAAACCTGCCGGCACGAGGCTGGCCTCGCGCGCGCGCACCTTTCGAGGCCTCGAGGTCCAGGCCTTAGTGGGCCCCGGAAACGACAGGGCCGTTTTTTTACCGGTTCCGTTTTGCCGTTTTTTCGCCGGTTCCGACGCCGTTGTTTTACCGGTTCCGTCGCCGTTTTTTGACCGGTTCCGGCTCCGGTTCCAATCCTGGGGCCGTTTTTTTGCCGTTTCTGGTCGCCGTTTCTTGCCGCTTCCATTTTCAAGGGACATTTTTTGGAAACGGTGAAAAAACGGCCCTGCCGTTTCCGGGGCCCACAGAGGTCCAGGCAGACAGGGAAAAGAGGCGGTCACCACAACGACGACGGCGAAAACGAAGACGAAAACGGAGACGAGAGACGGCGGCGGCGGCGGCGGCGACCACGACCCCGACGACGACGGCGACGACGCCGACGACGACGCCGACTATCTCGACGACGACTACCTCGACGACGGTAACGGCGACCGCGCAGTCGACGACGACCTGGGCGACTACGACGGCGACGGCAACGACGGCGACGGCGACGACGACGACGTCGACGACGCCGACAACGACGACGAAAACGAAGGCGAAAGACGAAAAAACTATACCGACGGCGCCAACCACAACGACGGCGGCGCGACCTGCGGCGGCGGCGGCGCGTCTGGGGGGGAGTTATCACAGTCTGCACGCTCGATGGGGCCCCTGCGTGCCCCTGCTCACCTGTTCACTGCAAGTCACGGGTTTAGCCTGTTGTTGGTAGGCGTGCGTGCGTCTGCATCAGGCGCGGTCTCAGGGCTGCTGCAAACTCGTGCGAAGCAAGCAACGTGTGAAACGCGGACGCTGATTGCAGCGCGCCTTTTCACAAGCTGAAATCACAAAACCACTCGCCGCCTTTGCCACACCAACAGCCTCAGCGGCAAGCATAAATCAAGCGCAACCCCCTTAAAAAACATGCCCAGGGCGTGAGCCACCCATGTGGCGCGCCATGGGTTGCACAATCCATGGGTTGTGCCATAGGTTGCGTCATCTATAGGGTACGCCACGGGTTGCGCCACGCCGTAGGTTACGCGATCCATGGGTTGCGCCATCCGCAGGCTCTGCCATGGGTTGTGCCATCCATCGGCGCCTTTTCCTTTTCAACCCGTGGCCTCAGAGATCTCGACCGCTTCCCCGGGGTACTTGTGCAACCCGGATCCATTTCTGGTGGTCCCGGAACCCAGTAAAGTCAGTAAAGGGCCCCAAGAAGGCCGAAATCGATGAGCAACGCCTGGACTGAAAAGCTCATCTCGTCGGAAATCTGGGACGGCGACCCCGACGACCACCGCAACGACGAAGGCGGCGGCGGCCGACGGCGACGGCCGCTGCCTCGACGCTGTCGAGGAGGACGGCGGAGTCCCGCCAGCGCTCCAGCTCGGCGCCGCCCACCTTTGGAGCTGCGTCGCCGGGGGTGCAGGAGGAGGGAGGGCTTCGCGGGAGTTCGCTGGCATCCACAGTGCGGGAGCGAGCTCACCAATCGAACACTCCAGGCGGCGGGCCACGGAGGACAGCCTCACGCCTGACAGCGCCCTGCTCACGAGCCAGACACGCCTCCGACGGCCCTTGGCGGCCAGGGAGACGCCCCTTCAGGATCCTCTGACAATTCTCAAGACCTTTCTTGGTGCAAGGCTCGCACTCAACCGTTTAATGGCGTTGGTCCTCCGTGGCAGTTTTACCGCACGCCATACAAACATGCAGCCCAAATTTGGGCCGGCAATTCACAGTACGAGAGGAGTGGCAAACCATTCCTTCACCGTCACCAACCCACTGGCCCGCACCACCCCATAACCCCCATACTCTAAATGCCCTGGGGCACCGCTTGGCACGGCGTCGTGCCGATCTCCACCACCTGATTAACAGGGACGACTCTGTGACAGTGAGCGCACAGCCAATAAGTCTCCGCGCGAACCAAACAGTGCTCGCTCCTGCGCAAGGCCCCATGGAAGCCCTCGGGGACACGGCGGGCCACGGGAGGCCGCTCGGCGGACCAGGGCGCCAGACTGATGGAGTCCACCATGGTTTAGGCCGCCCTACGCCTAACCAGCGCCCACTCTTGCTTTCGCTCGGACGTGGCTCTATGTGTGGCTGCTACGGGACACTAAGCGGTCTCTGAGGGCTCCGGTCTCTGAGGGCTCGGGCGCTCCTGCACGCGCGTGCGCGACTGCTGCTCTACGACTTTCTTTGCCCTGTCGCTGCGCGCAGGGCCGCGACGCCAAAAAGTATGTGTGTATATGTACGGGTGGGTGGGTGCATGCGAGTGCGTGTGTGTGTGTGTGTCTGTGTGCGTCTGTGTGTCTGTGTGTCTGTGTGTGTGTCTGCGTGTGTCTGTGTGTGTGTGTCGGTGTGTGTGTGTGTCTGTGTGTGTGTCTGTGTGGGTCCTTATGTGTCTGTGTGTGTCTGTGAGTGTGTCTGTGTGTCTCTGTGTGTGTGTCTGTGTGTGCCTGGGTGTGTCTGTGTGTGTTTCTACTTGTGCGTGTGTGTCCTGCACATACTCTTTTCGCCAGCGCAGTCACTCTGCCTAGCCGCCGACGCAAAAAATGTGTGTGTGTGTCTGTGTGAGTCTGCGTCTGTGTGTATGTCTGTGTGCGTCTGTGTGTGTGTCTGTGAGTGTCTGTGTGTGTTTGTGTGTATGTCTGTGTGTGTGTCTGTGTGCCTGTTTGTATATGTGTGTGTCCATGTGTCTATGTGTGTGCGTGTGTCTGTGTGTGTGTGTCTGTGCCCGGATGGCATATGGTGCGGCCCCTCTGAGGCCGACGCGCGCGGGGTTCGGCCGCTGCACTTGACTTTCTCCACCTTGTCGCTGCGCGCGAAGCCGCGACCGGAAAAATTGGATGCATTTGTGTGCGTAATTGTTGTGGGCAATCGAACTCTTCACAGCTCCACTAGGCGGCTAGGATCGGCCCAAGACGAGGTAGTGGGTCCATAAAGAAACGCACGGGCACGCAGACACACACAGACAGACATAAACACACACACACACACACACGCACACACACACACACACACACACACACACACACGGACACCACAAAAAAAACGCAAAAATAAAAACGTAAAGTTCGCGCGTCCGGGCGACGCCTAGGTAACGAAAGGTCGAGCGTGTACTACACACAAGAGAGAGAGAGAGAGAAAAGAAGAGAGAAAGAGAGAGAGATTGAAAAAAATAATGTAAAAACAACAATCAATTTAAGACTCTTCGCTGTTACTGGCACGCGTGCCTTGCATTCCGTGTACCCCAACCCTCGATACCCGCCCACTTCACCTTCGATTACACCCCTTTCGGGGGGAATATCTTCCTTGTCGGCCACTGACTGAAGTGCAAAGAAGTCTCGAGCGAGAGCGCCGTTCCTGAGTTCGGGGGCCTCTCTGGCCAGAGGCTCTCGGAATACCTGTGGAGACATATCCAACGGGAGCCCTCGTCGCAGTGTCCGGGCCTCTACCAACTTGCCTGAATTACGGGAAAGTCTCGAGCGAGAGCGCCGTTCCTGTGTTCGGGGGCCTTCTTGGTCAGGGGCTTTCGGAGTAAATCGTGAGGAAGTATCGAGCAGGAGCCCTTGTCGTCGTGGCTGGGCCTCCGCCTTAATTGAATTGCGAGGAGGTCTTGAGCTGGGGTGGCACGTTCCCATTGCAAACGTGAAGCTTTTCGTCACGAGGGTGACGCCGCGCGCCCTCGTGACGAAGGCCCCTGTCACGAGGTCGGGCCCGCGGCCTCGTGACAGGGAGCCTCGCCAGGCGTAGCGCGCCAACCTTATTCATATTCCATGCGATCATTATTCATATAGCGACCACCATATAATCATATCGAAATAAATATAAACACGCGTGGTTGGATATGAATAATGCTGCCCCCACAAATACAAATATGCGCACTCTGATATGAATAATAATCCTCCCATGGATGCCACATATCGGATCGGTCGATATTCTGAGACGACCCCCGACATGCTGATTCATTGGAAGGTCCCCCATCGACCCCCCTGATCCTCCTCCTCCTCCTCCTCCTCCTCCTCCTCCTCCCTTCCTCCTCCGCCCGACGACGACAACGACGCGGGCCCGCCGCCGCCGGCCCGCCGCCGGCGCGCCGAGGGTGCTGCCAAGCGGCGGCAGCAGCGACGGCGGCGACGGCGCGGCGGCGGCGAAAGCTTGAGCATTCTCTTAAGGTGGAGGGCTCAGGGTGAAATCCATATGGGCTTAGCGGCTTCACCTCGACAATCAATCCGTCTTGTGGTTCACCTTTTGCAGATCCAAGCCTCAAAACCCGTCGAAACGGCATTTCAGATGTCAGCCTTTGCCCTCCACCCGAAGGAAACGCTCGGACCCTCGGAAAGCGGCGGTGACGCCGACAAGACGACGACGACGACGACGACGACGACGACGACGACGACGACGGCGACGACGACGACGACGACCGACGACGACGGCGGCGGCGACGGCGGCGGCGGCGGCGACCGACGACGACGACCGACGACGACGACGACGACCAGCGACGACGACCGCCGCCGACGACGATGACGAATCACGAACGAACGACGAAGACACGCCGAGAGTGCCGCCGACGAGAGGGATCGGCGGCAGCGGCGACGGGCGGCGACGACGGCAACTAGGGCAACCATATTCGCGCTCCGCGTTCCGCGAAGCGCGATCTTCGCGCTTTCGCGCTTTCGCGCCGCCCCCGTCGCACCCTCGCGGCTGCCCTAGGGCCGTGGGGAAGGACGACCGACGACGACGAGATGGATGACGGGAGGGAGGAGAGAGGATGGGGGAATTTCACGCTTCACCTATCTACTCAAATTCGTTCACATGGCCATATGGCCGCATGGCTCTGCGCCATGCGCGAGCTCCACGACATCGCCCCCCCCCCATGTCCCTCCACGGGGCTCTAAGGGGCGGGGGCTCCAGCATGCAGAGGCGCGTGGGGGGGGGGCATGCACTCTGCCAAAAGAGACCTTGCCCACATGGTCGCGAGGCAGAGATCAGCCAGCACTAGCACTAGCCGGCAGCACTAGCCCCAGCGCCTCGAAACTCGAAACTGAAACATCGGAAGGTTTGAATGTGCGCGAGGACCGCCCCCTCTACTCCCCCGTTGCTCTACGCACCTCTCCTCTCACCCCTCCCGCCCCTCGCCAGCAGAGCAGAGACCCATGCACCCATGCATGGCGACCTGCGGCGGGGAGGCGGGGCCGAGCCTGGCGAGCAAGCAAGCGCGCCTACTTGAGCAGGTGCGCGACTCTCGCACGGCCCTTCCCGCCGCCGCCCAGGCCACCTGAAGACGGACTCGCGCCGCTCAGTGCGAGCGCAGCGCATCCACCGAAAAACGTGCACGGGTCACTGGAGTCATCCGCGCGCTTGCGCTTCTTGCCCTTCCCGCTGCCCTTGCCGCCGTCGGCCTCCCCGCCGGCCTTCGCCACGTAGTATTTCAACTGCACGTCAGTCATGCCGACGAAGCCAGGCTTGGGGACCAGCACTGGCACTCGGATGCGAATCTTCGGTGGCTCAGCGCCGGCCGCCAGAGGCTGCTTCAGGAGCTTCGGCGGGCAGATGATATCGGCGTCCTCGTGCGCAAGCTGGAGCGCGGCATCTTCTGGCTTGGCGACTTGTTTCACGCTCCAGGCGGGCACGAAGCATTCCGAGGCCAAATGACAGTTGAGACCCCCGTGAACATAGATCGGGATGCCCGCGATGTTGCCGACGCGGTGGGCCCCAACTGTCTCGGTGAAGGTGATGGCGCCAGCGAAGTAGAGCTTGAGATTGGTGAGCAGCTGCGGCGCCACCACCGATGAAACCGATACCTTCTTGCCGTCATCAGTCCTCCTCACGAGGGCGATCAGATCTTTCGTGCTGGCAGTAGCCTCAGACTCGATCACCGCCTCGAAGAGGGCCGCCTGGGCCTTCAAGGCGAGCACCTTGAGCGACGTGCTGTTGACGTGGAACTTGGAATCAGCCACGAGCTGGCGGACATCCAGCTCTTCACCGCACTCGGACGTGACCTTCGCATCCTCGGGACGGGCGAGGGGGGAAGGAGGACGGAGGAGCCGAGGAGGAGGACGAGACATAGAGACATAAGGTTGCGAGAGGAGAGGAGAGGCCGAGGAGAAGCCAGGGGCCGAGGGGCCGCCGAGGGGGAGAGGAGGAGCCCAAGGAGGCGGACGGTAAGAGCGGTAGACTAAGGAGCAGGAGAGGGAGAGGGGGACGAGCAGGAGGAAAGGGGAGGGGGGGAGGCGGGCGCGGTCCGAAATGGACGCGGTGATCTGCGCCAGCTTCCACTGGACCTCGGCTCCGCACGCGAGCGGAGGGAGCGGAAGCGCGGCGGGGGCTTCGACGGCGACGAGCACGTCGCTGCCGCTCCCAGGCCCGCCGCTCGGCGCGCCTCCCGCCTGCGCCGCTGCCGGCG